AGAAAGCAGACCAAGATGCTTTTCATGGGACAAAGTATTATCTTGAAGGCCTAAATAATTTTGAACATCCAAACGCACCTCCTCACTAACATTTAGGCTAAAGTTAATAATGTATTTTGAGATTTTGATTTTTTTTTTACCTGAAGCAATATTTATTTATTTATTTACTTATTTTTTGAGTAATTTTGACCCGAAGCAAAAAAAAAAAAAAAAAAAAAAAAAAAAAAAAAAAACAATTGCATAATCATGGCGTACATCAACAATAGTTTCACTATCATTCCCATCAACAAAAAGGTGACTCACTCTTGAAGCATGTTTAGGAATCACGATCCCTTGATCTCATCTTCCAATTCTTTCGCTTTGAAGTAATGCCATGTGGTTCTGCACGAATGAGATAAAAGGTAGAGAGTATTTTTATCCAAAATCCTTGTTGAGAATTATCAAACCCTACGACAATTCATCTGTAATAAACGACATGCTAGAAGTTGTCGCACAAGGCATAAGAAGACAGATTCACCGCCATATCTAAATAGAATTTTCACAATTTTGTTAGACCGGCATGTTTTGAATCAATAGCAAATGGGAGTCAGAGTGAAGCTATAAGTTTTGTTGGGAACTTATCAAATGTGAGTCCAAATGGACGAAAAAGAGATACTTCTAAACTTTTCACAAAGATGAACGTTGAACACCATATTTTGGGATAATTTTGCTTAAGAGACTGACATGCTTTGAAGTTTGGGAGTCACATTGTAAATACTTATGTTCGATAGAAATTCTTAATTTATCTAAAAAATTGATTTTCAGGAAAATTGTTTTTTTTTTATAAGGAAAAAATGAAAAAGATCTTTAGTGTCAATTGTTATGGATTTGTAAGAAAGCATAAGACCAACCAAGGATGATTATGCGTGCAAACAATTGGCTTTGTAATTGTAAGAAAGCATAAGACCAACCATGGATGATTATGCGTGCAAACAATTGGCTTTGTGATTGTTGTTATGGATTAGTAAGAAAGCATACCAACCAAGGATGATAATGCGTGCAAACAATTGGCTTTGTGATTGTACGCCGTGAACATATAAGAGCAATGATATAAATTGATATAAATTGATGTGTCAATTGTAAATTTAGCATTTGAGTGCAAAAAATTCTCTCTAATGCAATGCTATTTATTGTGCCAAATTTTCCATATGTTATATTTTGTAGCAAATTTCTCACCAAGTACAGCATATGAGAAATTTGACATTTGATTTCTATTGGTTGAAATGTTTACTTTTTCATGTAATCAATGCAGCTTTTACATTTGGATAATCTTGACAAATACCACTTGAAAGTATATGAGTAAGGATTTTTACCATTTACTTTTTATTCATAACCTTTTTAGTCAAATAATTACACTAATAGAAAGATATTTATCAAGAATAAAGGGTAAAGGTTCATACTTATGCACTCTCAAGGTAAATTCTCCATTCCTTCTTTGCATTTTTTAATTGTTTTAAACATAAAAATTTACTTTTATAACTTTTAAAGCTTAATAATTATGGGAAAAAAATAGATTTAGCATATTAAATAGTATTATGTATTAAAGTAAAAATAAAAATAACATACTATATCATACTAATACATAATTAGCATTTATATTTACATTAGAGATAGTAACACTTACACTTCTACAAATACGTGTTGTAGTGGTCCAAAATTTTCTCCTTTTTCTCCATAATTATGATGTTATAAATTAATTAAATTGTTTTTTGATAGATTAATTAAATTGTTATATGCTCTAAAAGTTTTAAAAGCTTGAGTCCCTTAAAAAAATAAAAAATAAAAAATAAAAAAAAGCCTTCAGCGTCTTGTAGCAAAAGTTCGAAAAAGCAATCTGTACACTGAATCTATATCGAGAATGTGGGCAGATGCATTAAAATGTTGAGATGGGAAAGGGCAGTCAACAATCCAAAAATGGAAAATTAGCGAACGTAATTTTCGACCAATGAGAAGGCGAGAAGTAATTCCAACTTTGCACGTGGTTCATATAATCCCAATCTGCATGTCAAAGTGAACGTTGACGGCCTTGACGGCAAAATGCATTCGAAGGACACGTAAATGCCTTAGATTTGGACAACATGCGTGATTAGGAATATCAACGCAGATCAAGGGCAAATTCAAAATGGATAAATGTCATACGACTACACGAAAAGCAAGGATATAATTGGATGAGTGACTAATGCCTTTTAATTTTTTGTTATGAACGCTAATAATGTATATATTGTTGGTGAAAACAAACAAAAATGTTATTAGTGTTTTTTGTTTTTGCTTTTTCTTTTTTCAAGCAAGTGGATACTCGGGTTTTAGTTTTTACCATTCAAATGTTCACGGGATATCGACTAGAAAAGTAAATGCGTGTTGTGAGGAAGAAATAAATAGCATTTTGCTAGAAAATAATTGAAGTAAATAATACATTTTAAAATATTTTAAGTAATAGAAGTAAATAACAAATTTATTCGGTAAATTATTATTTACTTTTAATAAATAGATTATTTATATGTTAAATTTGCTATTTATATGTTATTTTCTTCAATTTCTTCAAATATTATTAAAGTTTGCAATTATTATAGTTATTATAAAAATACTATTTACTATCCATGCGCTTATTTTATAGTTTAAACTTTTTTACTACAGTGTTTTTTTTTTAAATTTTTAAATTTTATGTTCAAACATATATGAATCAAATGGTCTTATAATTTTCAATGTATGTTTAGTTTGTATGCCTATACACTCCAATTAAAATTAGGCTCGCCATTGAACTCACATTTAGGGCAAAAATTTGGATTGTGTTTGAATTGAATCTAGTGTATGTTCTTTTCATAACTCAATCACAACTCAAACACATTTGTTATAGTATTTTCTCTCAAAAAATTTAAATTTAATTTTTTATTACAATATTTTCTATCACATAAACAATTTAAGTTCAAAACTGAGTTGTTAAACAAACAAACCTTAAAAAATTCATATTTTTCAATTTAAACAGCAAAAAAATTAAATAACATAAATTCCAATCTAAAAATCAGACGGAAAAATGTATATAAGTCACCATACAATATAATATCTTGCCAAAATAATAAGGAAGGGAAAGAAACATTTTCTTTTCCTCTCTTCCCAGGCTTTATAGCTCTACAATAACGTCCAGGCCAAAATAATAATGTCTCCGTTTGGTTTGTTGGTTTGAATTTTGTTAAATTGAACTTTTTTATTTGAACATAAAAATTCAAATTGTGTGGTTTAAATTTTAAAATTTTAATCTGAGTAGGGAATAAAATTTGAATTAGTGTTTGGTAGGTGTGAAAAGCAGAGGGTGTGCACCTAGGGCCGGCAATATGGGTCACGACACGACTACACGACTCGAAAATGACACAAATTTCGCGGGTTAGGGTTGAGAAAAAGAGGTTCGGGTCAGAATTGAGTCGACCTGAAATTGACACGAAAAATACGGGTCAATTTCGGGTTAGACCCGCCTAACCCGAACATGACACGAAACTCGTAAAAAACTAAAAATATATATTTTTCATTACATATTTTTTATTTTATTATGAACTTGTGATATCATGATAGTTATACTCAAAATCTTATACTATTATTTGCTTAATTTCAATGGATATTTTTGTATTTTAGTGTGTTATGAATTTTAAGTTATTTCTAATATGTAAAAAATTAAATAAAAGTATACAATTTTCGTGTCAATTTCGAGTTCACAGGTCAATTTCATGTCACGGGTCATTTTCTTGTCGTGTTGTGTCAACCCGTAAAGTGGTCGTGTCGTGTTCGTGTTGTAGTTTTTAAAAAATTTCATGTCATGGGTTGTGTTCGGATTGACTGTAAATTTAGAAAGAAACGATCAAAACACGATATGTGATACGAATTGCCACCCCTATGGACACCTTTCTACTGTTCAAAAATGGTTTGAACAGTTGAACTCAAGAGGAGAGTTAAACTCTAAGTTAGATAGTTTAACTCAATTCAAACGAGAAATATAATAAGGACTGCGTGTTTATCAAATACAAATTTAAACTGTGCTCATTATTTAAATTGAACTGAACTAAGTTAAACTAGTGAAACAAATACGGTAAATGTTTCTACATAACACTCCGCTCCAATAATCAGTTAATCACTACCACAAAAAACAAAAAAAGAAAAAAGAAAAAAGAAAAAAGAATACAAAAGACAAATGAAATAAGAAAGCTTCTTTATATAATGTCAGTTTCTAATAGTTAAATCTAATTAAAATTACATCTAATTAAAAAAGTGTATAAAATAGACAATTTTTAATATAAATTTAACAGATAAAAATAAAAAACTATTAATAGTTTATTTTTTTATCCTATCAGAGAAACATTAAACAAATAGGGGAAATTTCAAACTAAGTTCAATTGGCACTGCTTCAACTCTCAATAAAAAGTGATTCATTCCATGGTCCAACTCCACGTGATGGCCGATTCATATTTGTTTTGCTTTTCGAACCCTTTATCGACAATTTTGACACGGTTCCTCCAAATAGCACCATTTTATATATATATATATATATATATATATATATATATATATATTTTAAAATCTCACAATACAAGTTATAAGCAATTATGATTATCACTGATTAATCATAATTTACCCCCGATTAACTATTTCATTAGAACGGTCATTTTCTTAAAAGGTTCAGTTATTGGCTAAAATTTCAAAATTTTAGACATTTTTTTTTTTATTTTTAAAAGTGGCCAATAATTTTCCCTAAATATACCACAGAGTTTTCCTTTTCCTTCTTTTTTTTTCTTCCTTAAGAACGAAATATAACAGAAAGTATGGCACAAGGTGGAAACCATAACCGTTAATCAATTTAACTGCTTTTTCCGTTTTGTTTATTTACAAGTCAACTTCACAACAAACGTCAAAACTGCTAGTCTTTTTCTTCTACCGAACCTGAAAAATCTTCACATAAAACCTCCACTATAACTATATATACACACATATATACATATATTTATACATTATAACACAAAGCAGAGACTTTTACAAATTCCGAGTTTTCAACAACAACATGTCAACTTTCAAAATCACCAAAAAGCACCACAAACACCTCAACAACCCTTTCCCTTCTTCCCCAACTTCTCTCCCTTTCATCCATGGAACTCTCTTCTTCACCTCCCAATCTCTCCCTTCTCACCATCTTTACCCAATCGGACAAGATTTCCAGCTTTCTTGGAGGTCCAACAATGGTGGGTGTTTCTCCATTCACCACAAATCTCATCCCACAAAGCCCCCCATTTGGTCAACGCTGCCCGGCCAGGCCTTCGTCTCCGCCGCGTTGACCGAAACCGAGGTCGAAGAAAGCCGAGGATCTTTTGCCGTTAAGGACAATGATGTTCATTTGGTCTGTAATCATCAGACGGTTCAGAATATTCAGGTGATCAATCGGTTTGAGGACTTTTTGGAGCTTCAAGAACATTATTTCCCATCTGGGTCTTTCGGGTTTGATCTTGAGAGAGACTTCAAAGGTATAAACTTTCCGGTTTTGTTGATCACTGGATGGGTTTTAAGCATGGATGTGAAGAACAAGAAGTTCCAAAAATCTGGGACTTCAAAGTTTGATTCAAAAGGGTGTTCTAGTTGTGCAAAGTATTGGGTTTTGTTTGATCAGAAAAGTGGTGATCAAGTTGGGTTTCAAGTGAAGCTCGGAAAGCCAAACTTTGAGTTTGGGTCAAGAGCTTATTCTTCTTCTTCAAATATATTGGGGAAGTACAGGGGATTTCGAAAAAGATTGGGCCGGTTTCGGAGACGGAGGCTCGGGTTTTATTGGTCTTTGAACAAGCCAAGAAAGGTTGTGATGGCTTCTTCATCAGAGGAAGAAATGGAGGAGATTAGGGGTAAAGAATCCCAAGAGTTCAATAGGGTTTGCTTTACATATTCAAGTGAAGGAAGTGAGAGATTTTATGGGTTTGGAGAGCAGTTCTCTCACATGGATTTTAAAGGGAAAAGGGTTCCCATTTTTGTTCAAGAGCAAGGTATTGGGAGAGGAGATCAACCAATTACTTTTGCAGCTAACTTGGTCAGCTACAGGTAGAATACAGAGTAAAGATTAATTCTTGAATTATCTGGTCCTAATTAGACCTTCCTTGGTAAAACTTGCATTTTCTGTTATTAGTTAGTTAAAGTTAAAATAATGGTGGAGAGCTTTCAATTTGCTTTTGAAAAAAAAAAAAAATGAAAATGAAAGTGCTACCTAGTAACTGTAAGGCCCCCTAAACTAGCTGCTCATTCGTGGGCTTATTTGTTTCCATGACTAAAAGGCGCTACATTTTTGCATATTTGCTTAAACATGAATCAGAATTACGAATGTTAAAAAAAAAAAAAACAAAGCGCTTCTAGTCTAGCCGGAAGCGAGAAGCCTCCGAATGACTAGATAGCTAAGGGGATGTTATGCTTACCATAATGCTTCTGGCTTTAATAAGTTTGTTTTTGTGTTGCAGGGCCGGGGGAGACTGGTCTACTACATATGCACCTTCTCCATTCTATATGACTTCAAAAATGAGGTCCCTTTACCTTGAAGGATATGATTATTCTGTATTTGATCTCACGAAGCATGACAAAGTTCAGATACAGGTAGTGTTAGATGGTAAAACTTTTTGTTTTGCAGCAATTACAACGTTTGAAACTCAAGACTTGTTTTCAGAGATAGAGTGGGAAAAAAAAAAAAAAAAACTAGAATGAAGAACACGGTTTCTTTTTGCCAAGAGCAATTAATAAAGCAATCACTTTAATAAAGAGAAGGAAGTGAAATGAAAGCTGTATATTGGGTTTGAAGAATAAGAAGGAAGAAAAAGATTTGAAAAATTGAAAAAGGTTGGCGTCAGAAGCACGTGTTATTCTGTGAAGCATTTGCTTGGAAAATTATGGATTCTCTTATAGCTCTTTAGCAGTTGCTAATTATGAGAACAGTTATTGTTTTTCCCTCTTAAAGGAATTCAAATTAAAATAGAACAATGTGGTTCTTTTGTTTTTTTGTACTTGTTTTTTTTTCCCCTCTTTCAATGCATAATGGCTATTCTTAGATCTTAAAGTTGCAGTTTTTAATCTTGTGTTTACTCTGGAGATTGCAGATATATGGGAATTCAGTACAAGGAAGGATACTGCATGGTAACTCACCTTCCGAGCTCATCGAAAGTTTCACTGGAGCCATTGGAAGACCTCCTCAGCTTCCAGAGTGGATAATATCCGGAGCTGTTGTTGGAATGCAGGGAGGCACAGAAACGGTACGCAGAGTTTGGAATGAGCTCGGGACATACAATGTTCCTGTTTCAGCATTCTGGTTGCAGGTAATACATGCCCCTATATCAACTCTATGACGTACTTGTGTAGTGAGAGCAAAAGTATATTGCGCATAGACCTGCGTACAAACATTTATACATACACATAGGTTCATCAGTGATCACATATTATGTCTGCATATACGCACGTCCACATATGGATATTTGTGTTCCAAGCCATAAAAATTAAATCTACAATGATATACATCAAGAAAAATTTTATCTTGAATATCATGAATGCATACCGAGATTCTAAGGAATCTGTAAAACTGAAATAAATGTTTTGTCGCAGTTTTTTTACCGCTAACAAGTTATATGATAGTTTCATGAGGTGTCACGAAATTCTTTGTTCATGCAGTGTATCATTATCCAAATTTAGCTTCATTTCCAAGATTTTTTTCCCCTATCTTAATGGCAATGGATTTTTGAAAATAGATTCTCCTTTTTTATTTGTTTTAGGAAAAAAACTGTAGAAGGAAATTTGCAAAACTTAGATCTATGATATTTGCCTTTTCTTTTCTTTGTTTTTCTTTTGTTTTGAGTAGATATTTGCCTTTTCTTACTCGTATAGTAATTTGTACACAGGATTGGGAGGGGCAAAGGGAGACAATCATTGGGTCACAACTATGGTGGAACTGGGAAGTGGATACTGCAAGGTATCCAGGATGGAAACAACTGCTGTTAGATCTTAGTGCTAAGCACATTAAAGTGATGACATATTGCAATCCTTGTCTAGCTCCGGTATCAATCTTATTCCATCCTGATTTTCTTGTATAATCACATTTCTGAACAAAATTCTACACTCACTAACCAGAAACTAATAAGCGTGACCGTATGCATCCTGGCATGAAGAATAAAGACATTACTTATCTTCATGGAAAAGCTGGCATTGATGCTGTCATCATTTGATGTTAAGAAAACAATGGCAGTTTTTCCCAGCAATATCTGCATTTTTGTTGTTGGAATAAGTTTTATGCCTCTTGTCTCAAAGCGTTCTACTTGTTTTCGCAGGCACACGAGAAGCCAAACAGAAGGAGAAACCTCTTTGAGGAAGCAAAAAAGTCGGACATACTGATAAAAGACAAAAATGGAGAACCGTATATGGTTCCTAACACAGCTTTTGATGTGGGAATGTTGGACTTGACACATCCAGACACTGGAAGTTGGTTCAAACAAATTCTAGAAGAAATGGTGGACAATGGCGTCAGAGGATGGATGGCTGATTTTGGTGAAGGCCTGCCTGTGGATGCCACCCTCTATTCAGGTGTAAATATTTACTTGCTTCTTAAAAGAATCATCATAATCTAAAGACAAGTCCACAGTTGAATTCTTGTGAAGAAAAGGGAATGAGATACAAGTTAACTAGAAACTCTGCTTTGACACATATCTATGCATTTCCCATCAACAGGGAAGGCAAGTGAAACTTTGACCATAAAAATGTTACAACTTTCAGCTGTCAAAGGGTTATCCATTCTCTGTTAAGACCATCGGTAATGCAAATAGCCAAATACTAACATCAATGCCATATTTGGCACTAAATGCTAAATTTTGGCATATGCTATACTTGGTGCTAAATTTGACACCAAGAATAGACTATGCCAATTTCGACATTAACTATACCATTGCATTTGAGAATGATTATTTAACCCAAATACCAAATTTTGGTATTGGCACAGAGAGTTCCATCTAATGGACTTCCTAGCATGGTAATTTGATTTTTGCACAGTACATAGTGGATTTCCTTTAGTTAGCCAAAGTACACACTCCTAAATTATGCATTTCCTAAGTTCAAATCCCATGGAATTTGGAAGCCTGACATTTATGGGCTCATCATTTCAGGTGAAGATCCTATATCGGCTCATAATAGATATCCAGAGCTGTGGGCCCAGATAAACAGAGAGTTTGTTGAGGAATGGAAAAGTAAACGCGTGGGTAAAGAGAAGGAAGACCCAGAAGAAGCTTTGGTCTTCTTCATGAGGGCTGGTTTTAGAGACAGTCCCAAATGGGGCATGCTATTCTGGGAAGGAGATCAGATGGTAAGTTGGCAGACCAATGATGGTATAAAGAGTGCTGTCGTTGGTCTTCTCAGCAGTGGGCTTTCCGGGTATGCTTTTAACCACAGCGATATCGGGGGGTACTGCGCAGTAAACTTTCCTTTCATCAAGTATCACAGGAGTGAAGAGTTGCTATTGAGATGGATGGAACTAAATGCTTTCACCACTGTTTTCAGAACACATGAAGTAAGTCATAACATGACACTTAAATGCTTTCACCTCTAAATGCTTGCTAATCTAGAGACTCATAAAAAAGAAGAATCCTCATAAGCCTAAATACTCAAGACAATAACATTTTCTTCTGCAAGCAGGGAAATAAACCGTCATGCAACAGCCAATTCTACTCAAATCACCGAACTTTGTTACATTTTGCACGCTTTGCAAATGTCTACAAAGCTTGGAAGTTCTACAGAATCCAACTTGTAAAGGTGAGCCATACATTCACAAGCACTAAACATCTAATATCTTCATTGGCATAACTAACACCTTCGTTTTTTTTTTTTTTTTCTGTAGGAAGCTTCTTCAAAGGGTCTGCCCGTATGCCGTCACCTATTTCTTCACTACCCAGATGATGAACATGTGCATAGCTTAAGTTACCACCAATTCTTGATTGGCACTGAGATTCTAGTGGTGCCTGTTCTAGACAAAGGCAAGAAGAGTGTCAAGGCATATTTTCCAATTGGACAAACTTGTGCCTGGCAGCACATATGGACCGGAGAAGTATTTACAAGACAAGGATTTGAAGCTAAGATAGAAGCTCCAATAGGCTATCCGGCTATATTTGTTAAATCAGGTTCAGTTGTTGGAGAAACCTTTCTAAAAAACTTAAGAGAACTAAGAATTCTTTAAGAATGCAGCAATCCTTGAAGAGGGCAGTTGAAGGTTTTTACTCGTTCAATGCCCGTACAGTTTCAGTCATCTTTCTGGCTTTTAAGTCCTTCCATTTGATGTGCTAATGATGTCTAATTACACATACAAGCTAACAAGATCTCTACAAGCATTTCATGATCATGTCACTTTGTTTCTTAAGGATTTGGACTCAGTAATTGTGACAATCATCAATTTTTTTTGGCAAAAGGGCCAAGTTAAGATAAGTTGTGCAGTCTCATATCGCTTGGGAGAGATTACAAGCGATGACTTTTAAGTAAGGACATGATCTCCTATTGGGATGAGGACTTTTGGGGTCAATTAGTCCAAGAGCAAAACTATGCAGGCTAAGACCCAAAGCACAATATTCTACCACGTGGAGGCGTGGATCTTTGCAGCTATAAATTGTTGCACAATATCTGGTGAGAAATACTTCTGCTGGTGAGAAATACTTCTACCGCAGCCATGTAGAAAGTTTCATTTGTAAATAAGTTTCTTAGTGCACGATTTCACAACATGCACGCAAGTGCAGTTTGCATTATGCTAATCTGTTTTGATTGCTTGCAATGAATAAAATGGAAAAAATAAATGAAATCCTCTCCATGTAACATCAACTAATCACAGTCGAAAACCTACTTGATAAAATGGTCTAGAAAATGTATGATACCTCCCCCACCGTGGGAGAAAAATCATGATTCTAAGATGAAAATAAACAGAGTATTGGTAGACTCAGTTAAGCATCAAAATCCTATACATTATTCTCAAGTAGTCAGCACAATTCGAAAAACTACACATTTAGTTCTACGGGAGATTCGGCTACCAAACAAACTGGACAACTAACCAATTCTGTCTCGCATTTTCTTTTTCAAGTACTTCCTTCGTGAATGGAATCTTTCAACTTGTGTAAGTAGAAATCTCTTACGAAGTTGGTTGGCCATGCATTATTGATACTGCATTTAGCAGGCTTGAACCGGGCAAGTGCCTTCCACTCGAACTCCAACAGATATTTATTCCCGAGCTAGAACTTCTATCTGACGGAGCGATAGAGGGGATTTTTGTCAATGGATTCGATTCCTTGGCTTAGAATCACCAGAATCAATGACATTCGGAAAAGTCACGGGCCAAGCATTTCCCTTAAAAACCGGGCAAATCAAGGGTAGGAAAGGGCCACCAATTACTGAGCCGATCAACTTGACTTACCCTGCCCTTTGACTAGAACTGCCCTATATGCAATTGCAATTTATGCAACAATAAAATATGATCGAGTCCCAGATAAGAGAATCAAACCAAAAAAGAGTAACCTTGTTGGAATGATGAGCATATATATAACCAAAAAAAACTGCACAAACTAATACTATCAGAATTCAAGACGAACCGATCCCTTCACGATTTGGAATACAGTAGAACCATCAACCTATCACTTTTTGATGACATATACGTCTTTAAAATTTCGGATATCTAAACTTGCAAGAGTTCTACATGGAAAAGAGACGAAAATATACTATCTCAACTACTCTGTATAAAAGTAGCGAGTCCTTTCTTGGCCTCACATATACCCACCTGTGGGATGTTGTGTTATCCAAGTATACCTCAAGATCTAACCGGTAATTTTTTTTTTTCTTTTTGGCATTTGTTGGATTTTAAAAAAATAAAATGAATTTTTATAAAATTTATTCGAAGCACTAATTGTATTTTCTTTTATCATTTGTTCAATTTTACACTAAGGTTTAAATCACAGGATGATGAGACTAGTATTTTCTTACCTCAATTCCTAAAAGGTTCAAAACAAGAAGTAGATTGAGCAGAAACTGCAAAGACGGATTTGGAAAGAACACGGGGGAGCAAACACGGAATACTCCAATTCCACCAAAAGGAGAATTGTAGAAAATAAGCCTACATTTAAAATTTATATTAGTAAATAACTAATTTACCAATTTATACAAATTGATAGGTTATTGTTATGTTTATATTTTTCATTTTTCATTTTTACCCTTTTTCTTTATTTATTTTTCTTTTTCCCACTACATCTCCTTTTCTCTCTTCTCTCTCTATGTGTTCTTCTCCCCTCATCGCCAGTCGTAAATCTAAAATTTATAGTGTAAATTCAAGATTTATCATCAGAAGACATATTGTGTTTTTTCATAAATCCTAAATTTTTAGTGTAAATCTAACATTTACTATTAGAAAACACTTTTTGTTCCTTCATAAATCCCGAATTTACATGGTAAATTTAGAACTTAAATAATATAAAAATATTTTTTTAGCTTTGCTCGCAAATTTAGATTTACCACACGGTAAATTCAGGATTTAATTTATTATATGAACACAAATTGTGTTATTTATAGATCCTGAATTTACAGTGTCAATCCAAGATTTACCATAAGAACAATTTATATTCATTCATAAAATCCTAGATTTATTTACCATCATAACACAAACTGTGTTTGTTCGTATTAACTTTACTAATTAAGATAAATATTTTTTAGTTCTGCTCGTAAATCTAAGATTTACTATACGATAAATCCAGAATTTAGCATCAGGAAACAATTTATGTTCCTTCGCATAACACATAATGTATTTATTCGTGAATCCTAGATTTACACGGTAAATGCAGGATTTACTGTTATGCATTATATTAATTTTACTAATATAAGATAATATTTTTTAGTTATGCTCATAAATCTAAGATTTATCCTAAGTAAATCTAGGATTTACCATCACAGTACAAATAGTAAATCCTAAATTTACAATGTAAATACATGATTTATCATTAGAATACAATATCTGTTCCTTTGTAAATCCTAGATTTACACAGTAAATCTAGAATTTACCATTATACTTATTGTATTTATTCATAAGTCCTGACATGTTAATTTAGTGTAAATTCGTATTTACACCTATTAAATCTATTTACTAACTAATTATAAATCTTGACATATTTATTTGTAGGGACTTTTTTTGGTGTTCTCTCCTTTTTGAGAACACTGGTGTTTCTTGTTTTTCAGACGTCAGATCTGTATCAGAATCGTTATGTTTAGCATATTTTTTTAATATTGTGTAATTTTGACTAGATTTAACGGCTAAAAAAGCAGAGAACGTCAGTATTTTTAAAAAAGAAGAAACACTGAAAAAACTCCCTTATTTTTATTGTCCTTTTAATGACACATTTTTCCCTTAATCGTCATTTTTAAAAACCGATTTTAATTGGACTGGATGTTATTTGACTAAAAAAGTTTAGAGCCCATTTAATTCGCTGATTTGAGTTTTTAATTTGAGTTGAGATGTGACTTTATGCGAGAGTTTTTACTGTAGTAAAAAGTTAAATGTGACTATTTCTGAGAGTTTTTTACTGTAACAAAACTCGAATTTGAAATTCAAGTCGGTGAAATGAACAGGACTTTAGATATGAATTATTGCCTCGTTCATTTCACCGATTCGAGTTTTTAGTTTTAGATTTTTACAGTAAAAAGCTCTCAGAAAATGTCACATCTAACTTTTTTTGCTACAGTAAAAAACTCTCAAAAAATATCACATCTTACTTTGAATTAAAAACTCGAATCTGCAAAATAAATGAGGCCTATACGACTACTAACTTTGAAGACTCCTTATTTTTAAGTCAAAAGGACTATAGGAGTGGAGGGAAAAGGAAGGGCTTGGAAGTAGGGTTTTAGGAGAGGGAGGGAAAACTTGGGGGAAAAGAGATTGGGGAAGGGTGTCTTTATAATTTTATGCTGTAAAGACAGAAAGCGCTCTTTCTGAAACACAAAGAACCAGAAAAAAAAAAAAAAAAAAAAAAAGGAAGAGGGGAAAAAAACATATGGCGCTTCAGCTTCTTCCCAAACCTCCTCTTTATCTTCGCTTAATGGCTTCTCGCTTCGTCTCCTTCTCTTCTCTTCACTCCCATTATTATTCTTCTTCTTCTTTGTTGCTTTCTCGTCCTCTTCTCTTCCTCAAAACCCCCAGGTAAGTCTCACTCCATTTACTCATTCTTTCCCTTTTCTCTTCATAGTAATCTGGCTCTGCTTTTTCCTTTTTTCTGTTTGGTTCTCTAGAAAGTTCTGAAACACGTTGTATTCGCGAAAGAGTGAATGAAAAGAGAAAATTTTCTCTCTATTGAAAAATATTTTTTATAAATTTAAAGTTTATTTTCGGTTGTTCTGGCGCATTCTCCGAGAAATGGAAAAGGGGTTTAACACTTGTTCAACAAGGTTTATTTATTTATTCATTTTTTTATAAATTTACAGGACAAGCTTTCGGTTGAAGAGGAATTCGAGTAATGGCTTTTTGCTTCCAAATGTGGTTGCTCCGAGGGCTTTCATGTCGTCCGGCGCCGCAACGGAAGCTACCAAAGGAAGCGCCGGTTCCAAAGCTTATGGGTCTGATCAAATTCAGGTGAGAAATAATAGTAGCGAGATGATATTTATCGTCATTTATTAGTATATTCACCAATTTCTCATCTTTTTGAAAATGGATTATTACTATTTGTATGGTGCAATTGTTTATTTCGGTTTTTAATTATTCATTCTGATAAAAAAAAAGGTGGTGCCTTTCTTAACATATTTAGGTATTGGAAGGATTGGACCCAGTTAGGAAAAGGCCAGGAATGTATATTGGAAGTACAGGATCTCGTGGTTTGCATCATTTGGTATAATTTTATTCTTGTTTAACATCAATCATGCTTTTGCCTGGTTCATGTGAATGTAAAAGAGTGGAATTTATGAGCTTGTTGTTCTTACTTCTTAAGGTTTATGAAATATTGGATAATGCTGTTGATGAGGCTCAAGCAGGATTTGCTTCGAAGATTGACGTTGTTTTACATGAAGATGATTCTGTGAGCATCGCGGATAATGGTCGAGGGGTAAGGTTTATTTTTTGTATAATAAAGAGGTTTACAACTAATGTATATACTTGTTATACATTTACGGAGTAAAAGCATAAGATTAAATAATCAGTTTGGTTGGACAGCGATTATCATAGATTCGGATTTTGTACTATAGTTCACGTAAGATTTCTATTATCTCGTGCATGCCATCATTACTTTGCAGATTTTTCTTGATTGACTGATAGGTGAAGATATGTACTGCATTTATAGACAGTTTCCTTGTAATTGACGGGTAATCTGTATTTCTTGTGATAGGTTGTTATATCTTTAGGCATACAATAATGCAAGAACTTTGATAAGCAATCTACTTTTTGGACATGTTTTTTTTTCTGATGACACACACTACAGACACATTCATTCATTTATTGTGCCCAGTTGGATCATTGAAGAGAAAAGTACTTTTGTTCGCTAGTTACACCTAGTACACAAGTTGTTCATGATAGCTTTTGGTGTTTTCTGTTTAGGTACTAGTTTCACTTGTGCTGTACTTCATCTTTGCAGATTCCTATTGATCTGCACCCGGTGACCAAGAAATCTTCATTGGAGACTGTATTAACGGTATTACTTTACAAGTTTTCATATTTACTCGAATTTCCTTTTAGCGGTTGTATGCTATTTGCTTCACATGATATTGATATATATCTCCATCTGTATGCATGTGTATAGTATTGTATATTTATTCTCGATTATACTGAACACACTTTTGTGTCCAAACATTATTTTGTGTTTAAAGGTTACTTTGCTATGGCATTTTTGCAGGTTTTGCATGCTGGTGGCAAGTTTGGTGGTTCCAGTAGCGGATACAGTGTGTCTGGTGGATTACATGGTGTAGGTTTATCAGTTGTTAATGCCTTATCTGAGGTGTGCATTCTATCTCCTTCAACTTAGTTTGGCTAATTCTCTCTCTCCTCCCTCCCTTTGATTTGCATAAGGTTTGCTTAAGGATCTTCGAGTTCCTCTTTTTTTATGAATTTAATTTTCCCTAGCAACACCCATTCCGCTCCCATCCATGACTGAAATGGAAAAATTAAAAAAAAAAAATTAGAAATACTACCCAGGCCCCCACCCACTTTTTTTTATTTTTATTTTTTATTTTTTATAATATATATATATATATATATAAATATACTGTTTAAAATTCTATTTTATACTTTATGCCCAAAAAGATGGGTTTTACAAAGAATAAATGCAAGAGACTTTAGCTTTGTGCTTCGAATTTCATTAATTGATTGGTCTGGAGTGAAAGATGTGGGTGGACTCCATTTAAATACATAATAATCATGAGGGAGTATGACTTTTTTCCGTTCTAATATGAGGTTTTAGTACTAGAGGCTGAGGGTGTATCTTGTATGGCGTCTTAGGTTATGACTGTTATATTACCAAAAGACTTACTTATGATGTCATCATAGGCTTTGGAAGTTACAATTTGGCGGGATGAAATGGAATACCAGCAAAAATATTCCCGTGGGAAGCCTGTAACTACGCTAATATCTCATGCCCTTCCGGTTGAATTGAAAGACCAGCAAGGAACGCGCATTAGATTTTGGCCTGACAAAGAAGGTTGGTTTTTCTTTCCTTTTCTTTTCTTTTCTTTATTTATTTATTTTTTTTCACCCTCAGGCCCAATTCTTACTGTACAATCAATTTATTGTTTCATTCTCAATTAGTTGATAATAATTGCAACAACTTATAATTCTTGCTTTGAATGTGAACCTTCCCTGCAGTATTTACAACAGAGATCGAGTTTGACTACAACACAATAGCTGGACGAATAAGGGAACTAGCTTTTCTAAATCCACTGGTAATCTTGTGTTCATGTACATGGAAAATATTTTTTAAAAAATCATTTAAGTACAAAGAACTTTACCTGGTCTCATTGTTTGTCTACATTACGCAGTTACTTATGGTCTCCATAATCTTTTTCAGCTCACCATCAATTTGAAGAAAGAAGATAGTGATCCAGCAAAGATTCAGTCTCATGAATACTTCTATGCTGGGGGATTGGTTGAATATGTGAAATGGCTAAATACTGACAAGGTGGTGCTTAATGTTTTACGTTTCCCTCTCCATGGTGCCCTTTTATTCCTTTTCTTTTTCAGACATGGGTTTGAATCAGATGTGATCCAAATATCCAATGTGTACCTCTTGTTATTGTTATTTCCTATTGTTTAATGTGTATAGTGTAGATGCAGTATAATTGGAATTTGGAAATAGTCTCTTTGCTTTTTTGTATTTTGGAATTTGATTATTTTGTAGGGTTGTTGACTAACAGTTCCCTCATCCAGAAACCACTTCATGACATTGTGGGTTTCAGAAAACAAGTTGATGGAATTGCAATCGATGTAGCTCTCCAATGGTAAGCCACCTAATAAGCAACATATTTGAATTTTATAACTTTTACATGTAGAAAACTGATGCAACATTGTCTTCTGTACAACATAGTTTAAGTAGAACTATTATTCTTTTAAAACTGACGCAACATTTTGTCACCTAACATTATCATAAGTACAATTATTAATCTCTTTAAACAAATGGTGCCTCATTTCTTGTTGCGACTACAGAGTTTAAATGGGATAGTAATGCATATAATGATAAGAAATTCTTTTATTCTTTGATCTATTACTAGGAGTTCAGATGCTTATTCAGACACAATGCTAGGATATGCTAATAGCATACGTACTGTTGATGGGGGCACCCATATTGATGGGATAAAGGCAGCATTGACAAGAACCCTAAACAATCTTGGCAAAAAATCAAAGATTGTCAAGGTGCGTCCATTCTAGTTCACTGTGTATTTTAGGTCATGAAATAATTTTCAACTCGTCCTTTCTAAAAGCAATTTTTGGTATCTTATAAATGAAGTATATCACCATTCATTCATATGATATAGTAGAAAGCAGTTGTCAGTTTTAATGATTAAAAGCATATTGTTTTGTTATCAGGAAAAGGATCTTACACTGAGCGGTGAACATGTAAGAGAGGGATTGACGTGTGTTATCTCTGTCAAGGTTCCAAATCCGGAGTTTGAAGGCCAGACTAAGGTGCTTCCAATTTTTATTATTATTGACTTTTTTTTTTTTTTTTTTTTTTTTTTTGTTTTTTTTTTGGAAATCTTTTTTTTTTGGTAATTTATATCCTCATTGTTGTTTACATTGCTTTGGATAACTGATATTATGATTTTTTTTTATTCTTATTTCATTGGTTTACTTGTTGAAAAAAGACAAGATTGGGAAATCCAGAGGTGAGGAAGGTGGTTGATCAATCTGTCCAAGAGTATCTTACTGAATACTTGGAGTTGCACCCAGATGTGCTTGATTCAATTCTTTCCAAGGCTCTAAATGCTCTCAAGGTATTCTTGTCTAGCTTTTATTGTGCTTTCTAGTTTCTTAAGACATGGCCAAAGTTTTCTACTTTAGCTCCATATGTCTTCCCCGCTGAGATATTTTAAAGTTAAACATCTTTTTTCTCATGAATGTCTCCCTATTTAGGCTGCTTTGGCAGCAAAGAGAGCAAGGGAACTAGTGAGACAAAAGAGTGTTTTACGATCATCATCACTTCCGGGAAAATTGGCTGATTGCTCATCAACAAATCCTGAAGAATCTGGTAAGTTTACACCCTCTATGTGAAATTCGCCGTGTAATAACGAATAAAGCAAGTGACTATTTGCGTGGTTTACGATACCTTTTTTTTTTTGGGCCTGGTGGAGTCGTGGTTAATGATAGTTAAGACTATTAAGCTTAAGAGATGGACGTGTTCTTATGCTTGATCTGGTTTTTACCCGGCTAGTATGCCATAATGTATGATGAGAATCCTGTTTATTATTACGGGAGTAGTATGTCTCTGAAGTTTAAATATTCTTCTTTACAAGGTATGAAATTAAAGGAAATTTTGGTCCAAATTTGTTTTACAAAGATTTTTTTTCTTATTTTTTTTAATCCAATTCCTTTATTTGCAGAAATCTTTATAGTTGAAGGAGACTCAGCTGGTGGAAGTGCAAAACAAGGTCGTGATAGGCGCTTTCAGGTAAAAAATGTTTCTAGAGTTTGTAGTTTTGCATTAAGTTTTGAAGAGAGATGGGTGTAAAGTGTGAACCATTGGTCAGTAAAATTTCTTTTTGCAGGCAATTCTTCCACTCAGGGGTAAAATTTTGAATATTGAAAGAAAGGATGAAGCATCAATGTACAAAAACGAAGAGATTCAAAATCTAATTCTTGGTCTTGGACTTGGAGTAAAGGTTTAGCACGCTTTTCTTTATTTTAATTTCTTAAAGGTTTGTTTCATTCCTCGAGGAAAATTTTGAATTTTTATACTTTTTATCGGAAATTTGTCATCTTGGATCAGGGAGAGGATTTCAAAAAGGAGGCTTTGCGTTATCATAAGATTATCATCTTAACAGATGCTGATGTAGATGGTGCTCACATCCGAACTCTGCTATTGACATTTTTCTTCAGATATCAGGTATGGAATGAGCATTTTATTTTATGCAAGTTTTATTGTTAGGAATTCATTTTTATTTTATTTTATTTTTGTAAAATATAAATCCTTTGTAAATGAATAATAGTCATCATTAGAAAAATAAATTCCTCTAACTTGTTGAAAGACAAAAATGTCCCTTGTCATGTACTACAACAAGATTGACAAAATTATATGTTGATTTCGTAATGTGTAACAGCACGGCGTGATTGATGCTTGTCATGTGCTACATGAGATCAAGGACATTCTTGTCCCCCACAAAATATTAGGGGTCTAAGTTAGAGAACCTTTAAAAAGAAATGGGGAACGAATATCCACCCCTGCATGCACAATTGATTTATTTAACTATGAATTCAATATGTTCTTCTCGCGCATGCAGAAAGCTTTATTCGATGCAGGCTGCATATATGTTGGTGTCCCACCCCTTTACAAGGTTTGCTCATAGCTTTGATGGAATCAATAAGTAACAACCTTGTCCGTGAATAATGGAACTAACGCCTTTTGCTTTTCCTGAAATGATCAGGTTGAGCGGGGAAAACAAGTATATTATTGCTTTGATGACGTTGAACTTAAAAAGCTCCAGAGTTCCTTCCCTTCGAACGCTTCCTACAATATTCAGAGATTTAAAGGTATGAACTCTATAACGTTCTTTGTATCATGGTAAAATCATAAATAAATGTTTTAGGAGTGCTTTAGTATACAAGTTTCTCACTATAATGGTACAACCGTCGTGATATGTTGATTTCTTGATGCAATGCAGGGCTGGGTGAAATGATGCCTGCACAACTGTGGGAGACGACTTTGGATCCAGAGCAAAGGCTGCTTAAGCAGTTAGTGGTTGAGGATGCTGCAGAAGCAAACATTGTTTTTTCATCCCTTATGGGTGCCCGGGTATGTTAATTGTCTAAATCGAAGCGAATTAGCTTTAGTATCTATTGAAACAGTGTTGAATGCTGGTTATTATCTTCATAATCAAATTAAATGTGAAACCGGAACTTAACATTATCTTCGAGTTGCTATGAGATTTGCAATGAGAAAAATTCTCTAGAAGGGCTAATTCTTCTTTGAAATCAATCAGCTTTTGATTTCCATTGTAGTGAAATCTCGCCTTTTATGCCAATATGAATCTTGTCATACTGTTAGTCATGAGAATCCGGGATATTTACTAAAATATTTGTTCTGATTCACATTTCAGGTCGATTATCGGAAGGAACTCATACAGAATTCCGCAAACATGATAGACCTTGATCAGCTAGATATCTGAGGGACCACTGAAAGTTACTGTCAAGTTTTTATACTGTAAATTTTTACAGCATGAGCGAGCAGAATCTTGTTTAGGTAAGCGGTTACAGAGGCTTCTTTGGCAAAACCTTTGGATTTATTTTTGTTAGCCGCCATTAAGAATCAGAAACATTTGAATACCTCTGGTTAGTTGGACACTTGTGGTTGTGGACCTGTAGCTCTGCTTTTCAATGGGGCAAAGAAAGTTGTTTAGGATTTTTGGAGTTTATTCATTTGGGTCTACAAATGCTGTTCATATGTGTTGTCAGTTGTACAAGTTAATTTATTGTCAATTTGTCCTTGAGGCTGTTAAGATTTTATTTGGAAACTTACCATTTGTCATTTGACATTAGATTTAGAGAAGCTAACGTAATGTTTTGCCATACCAAATCTATGAAAACTTATATACACAATTGTTTAATTTATTTTGCTTGGCGAAATTGAATCAGTGGTTAAAAGTGAACTTTTGTTTCGTGTTATAAGGAACTGAAAAACAATAATAAGGATACAATAAGCTTGTCGTTTGTTGGAATGTGTTCCTCTCAGAAATGGAAATTATGAGTCCCCAAATCAGTTAATAGTCTACTAAATGAGTTTAGGCTTTAAAAATATATGTTTATCAGGAAATTGTAGAGAATAGACCCACATTTGAAACTTATTGGAGTAAATATGTGTATAAGTTTATTCTATTGTCTCCACTTCGCAACAAAATATATAGGATAAATTTTAAAAATACTCCCTGAACATTTGCCACTTTGTTCAAGTTGCTCTTGAACTCTAGAAAGTGTCATACATGCCCCTCAAACTTTAAGTCGTTAACAATATTGTTCTTTCTGTTAAATTGCATAAAATAATTGGATGGAAAAGCTTACGTGGCAATAAATTAGATTAAAATAAAAGGGTAAAATAGTCCCTTCCACTTTAGTTGAGTAATCAGAAAGATTATAATACTCCAATTAATCCTAATGTTAATCCTAATAAAACTAAATTAGAAAGCATTTGGGCTTTTTAAGCTTTCCTCTATGACAACCGCAAAATAAATCCATCATAACAAACGCTCTGAAGCTGGTGCATACTTCTAATGTTCCTTTTTTAATCCAGCAATGCAACGTCTGATGCAAAATTGTAGCAATGCAATGTTGGTTTCTAAAACGTTTTTGGACAAGAATCAAACGCAAGCGTAATTGGTACACGATTCATGTGTAACAAAAATTTTTGATAAACTTTTAGAACAATACTCTATAAATGATATTAATTCACACATGAAATAAATAATCACATTAGTTACTTACCTAGTAGAGGCGATTAAGAATTTCGATTCAAGAACCCGGTCACTTTTTTTGATTTCTTGAATCTTCCATGCCAAGTCTCTGGTACCAAAATCAGTGTGTGAGAGCGGTTGGAAAACAGTGAACATTTAATTCATAGATTCAAAATCATGATTCAAAATTATTTTCAATTTACGTGTATTTTTTGTGAGAGAAAATACTGTAGCGAACCACGAATTATAATTCAAATCATGACACGAATCTCACTTTTATCTCACACAATCTCAACATATAAAAAGAGCGGGACTAACACTTGAAGAACTTTTCTTCACTCTTTCTCTTTCTTAAGTACGGCTAATGCTATTCGGGAAAAATTAGATCTCTCAATTTTCCAACACCACATGTTTATGGAGGAGGTTTGCCCATTTGAGGAAAAGTTTTCTCTTTCCTTCTTTTAGAAAAATTCGGCCACCAAAGGAGTAATACCTTGCGGATGGTGCCAATCTCCTTCCTTTTAGGAGGAGATTAGTTTCCAATTTTATCCTTTTTTCTTATCTTTTTAAATTCAAACACTGATTTAGAAATTCAAACTTTTTAAATTTATTTTAAATTTAAAATAGAGGCCACCAACCGTTACCGTGGAGAGACTTTCAAAGTCATTGAAAAGGCTCATTGCACTTTCTTTTCTTTTCTTTTCTTTTTTTTTTTTTTTTTTTTTTTTTTTTTTTTTTTTTTTTTTTTGCTGTCTTTTAACTTATTGGTTGTATTAATACAAGGCAAGAGCTGCACCATGCCATGCATATTCCAAAGAGAAAACATCAAAGAGGGGAAAAAAAAAAGAAGAAAAAAGAATTACAATATATCCAAAAATGAAATCGCACAAGCCACATTTCTCATTTTTCTTCTTCATTATTGCCATGGTTGCGTCTATTAACACTCTCAATTTTACTTTTTACATACCATGAAAGAATCATTTGACACCAATGCCTAAAAAATGTTACATTAATCACATCAATGTCAATTTATCATTTCAGTCTGGGGCACCATCATGGTTTGGCACTAATTACTACCAAACAAACAATATTATTGCTTGCCAATTAGATTTTCACATCATAACAACCTGATAAAATCAACCAACTTGCCAAGAAACTCACAAGAAGAACCTCCTTGTCCCAAAGAAACTGTCACCTTCTCCTTCAATTCCACTGCTCTCTTCCTCATCTCACCTCCTTCTTTCCTCACCATCAGTCTCCTAATGGCACTCTCCACTTTCCATCTCTCCAAATTTTCTTCCAACTGGATTCCCACCTTCCAAACATGGTTCACAATCCTTGCATTAACTCTCTGGTCCCCAATCCTGGGCCAACAAATCATGGGCACTCCTGCATGCACACTCTCAATTGTTGAATTCCACCCATTATGTGTCCAAAACCCACCAACCGATCTGTGGGCCAACACTCTCTGTTGTGGAGCCCATTCGACCACCTTTCCTTTTTTCCTTATTATCTCAGTGAACCCATTTGGCAAAAGTTCAAGCCCATTTGAACCACTTATCACTAGACCAGGTCTAACCACCCATAAAAAAGGTTGGTCACTATTGGCTAGTCCCCAAGCCATCTCAAGAAACTCACTTTGGGTTATTTTCACTATGCTTCCTATGCTCACATAAATGACTGAGTTTGGAGTTTGTGTATCTAACCAAGAAATGCAACTTTCATCCTCAGTGTATGAACTTTTAATTATAAGTGAGAAGCCGTTTTGGTTATTATAGTGAAGGGTTGGGCATATAGGGTAGATTGGAGATAGAATTTTATCTTGAGCTTTCTTGAGAATTGCCTGCTCAAGGCATTGAAGAGAATTCCAAATGACTGCTGAAGCTGTCTCCGTTCCATGGTGAATTTTGAGCAGGACTTCTTCTTTGGCTTCGTCGTCGGAACTGTTAAAAATCGGCAAGTCCTTGCCCCGAAGTAAGGGGAATTCCGAAATTGGTTGCTCCGAAAAATGGATTTCTGCAGTCGAAGATGTAGAAGCAATATATAAGAAAATGGCATGGTTGAATTCTTCTTTATGGTTTTCTGAAGTCTTTATTAAAATAATAAAGAGTATTATATACTAACGGATGTGGCATGTGAGTTGTCATTTTTTATTGGTAGATATAATCTCTTATCATTAATTGACGTGACAATGTTTAAACACCCACTGATATAAAAATGACAACTCATACACTAGGGTTAGGATTTAAGTTAGTGTCCTTATCATTATTCAATAATAAATACTAAGGTGATGTTTGATTCATGAGTTTAAAATCATGGTTCATAATTCTGATTTTTGAAATTCAAATTTTTTCTAAAAAGAAAATACTGTAGCAAAACCACGAACCATAATCCTAAACCAAACATAAATATCAAATGGTTACAGTCATGAATTTTTAACCAACAGCTAAAAACTACCAGGTCAAATTGTACGAGTCCATATATTTATATGCCTATATATATGTTATATATATATATATATAAATGTGAAGTGTAATATAAAATTTATTTAATATAATACTGACATTGTAAAATTAAGAACAATACTTTGGGATTAATATATTTTTTAAATGCTACACTTTTTCAACATCAATGTATGTTAAAATAATGCTATATATTTTTGCACTTCTGCGTTATGTGAAAGTATGGTCCAAGGAAGGAAGCTACAGTTTCATGCAATTTCAGTCAGTAATTTACATCTTAATGGAATAATTATTGTTGCAGATACATGTAGAAAAGCTCTTAGTTTAGTTAATAAGTCAGGCCTTAGGAGCTTAAGTAATTATGATTTAAATGTGTTTAGGACTCCACTTAAGAGCCTACCTAATCCATCCCTTGTTTATCATCTTTTATCTTTTATCTTTTACACAGCCCAAAAAAAAAGATCCTTTTTTTTAGTGCTGAAAGAAACTAATTAGGAGCTTAATTACAACATTTTTTTAATCTTTTATTTCGTGTACATGTACATATTTTTATGTGTACATGTAGTATTTATATATAAAAATTATAAATGTCCGTAGACACATATGAAGACATATAGAAATAGAATTAACTATATATATATGTGTGTGTGTGTTGTGTGGATATGCATGAATGTCTACGGATATAAAAGGAAAAAAGAAGGAAATAGATCAAGACTTGAGATGAATTAAAATTAATAGGCCAATAGTTTACATAAGTTAATAAACAGGCCAAATTACTGTTTTCGTCCATAACTTGTCTGGTTATGAACCATAACTTGACAAGTTATTGTCTATAACTTATCTGATTATGAACCCTAACTTGACAAGTTTGTCCATAACTTATTTGGTTATGAATCATAACTTGACAAATTTGTCCATAACTTATCTGGTTATGAACCATAACTTGACAAGTTATAGCCTATTAATTTCTATAACTAAAAATTGGCCTATATACTTTCTTAAGCTTTTCATATTGACATATTTCTTACTATTTCTCTGTATTATATTGCATCCTAGCTATGATATATATATATATATATATATATATATATGTGGGTAGTTTTTCGATTGGTAATCATTCCAAAAGTCAATTATTATTCCATACCTTTGGTTATTAAATCCGTTTGCTTGAGATCTAGCGAGAGAGCCAAGAAAGTTGTGGCACTGCTTGTTCTCAATACAATCCTAGGGATGTCAACTTCATCAGCAATGGCTGCGGCGAAGTACATGACAGCGTCATACACAATGCATGAGACAGGGCCATAAGAGCTATTTTGTTGCAACTTTGACAAGCAATCTCTGAATGGGGTTGTGCACTTATTGTTGAGCACACAAAGATAGAGCACAACATCCCCATCAAAGGAATTGTAGCTTAATTCCGAAGCGATCGCGTCGATATCGAATAATGTTTTGAAAGATAAATTGGGATAACAAGACGGAGAAGCTGGGTCGAGTTGCGTGCAAATGATGGTGATGAGAAATCCTTTGGAGTGAAGAAGTTTGGCCAAGTGAAGCATAGGGCTCATGTGGCCTTGTAAAGGACAAGGAACAAGTACGAGGTGAACAAATTTTTTTATTCTCTCTTTTTGATTGTCCATAACGGATAATAAGTGATGCAATCTCTATAGTTTTTTTATGCATCATACTTTCCAGTTTGAGAAGTTAAGAAGATAAGGCTTCATCTAAACATGTGGTTGTCATTTACTTTTCTATTTATGTCACAACCTGGACCACTAAATCAATTTTTCATAACAACTTGGTCCCTTTTTTTTGTCATGGGTTAACATCAATGTCCCTCTCCCACGTAAGACAACATGCTTATGTTTTGAATTAGTTTGAGATATTTTAGGTTTGTCTGACATTTCTTCTGAATGTCATACGTAGTACCTGGTAACAAGTTGTATAGAATTTTCTACCCTTAAAAAAAGAAGTTGTATGGATTTTATTATATTGTAAGTCTTTTTTAAAAAAAAAAAAATTTGCATTTTAGTAAAATACTGATAAATGGTCATCTTGGTACAATACTAACCCATTAAAGGGTCAGACGCATGCCTGAGGGCTGAAACTGAGAAAGCACCTCGGCACACCAACAATGAGCGGATTGAAAGCTCGACTGGAGAAAATCCCTCTATTTAATATAAGTTGTCGAGTGTTGGAGGGACAGATCGTCAAAACCCATAGAAGGGGAACATCTACACAGTGCAGAAAAAATTATAGCCGGACCAAGACCACTTTATCGGCATTAACCGAACACCTAAATCTAATAAAAAATAACAAACTAGATGAGGGTCGGGTGAAGAAACCACTAAACCTATTACAAATACAAAAGTTACAAAAAGAAAAAAACCTCCAACCATTGCCAGTAGAAACCTCTGGTGAATGGCGTCCGGCCAAAGGACCATCGAGGAAGATAGCCAGCGAAGAGATCTTAGCCACCAAGTAAAAAAATCCCCTGAGAAAGGAGGCCGTCCAATCAGCGTCTAAGCTCCTAACCGATTCAGATCTGTCTAAACGGAGCCATCACACCTTACATCACCGCCACCAATAAGAGGCCCACGACGAGACGCGTTGGAGGACCAAATTTCATAGCCTTCTTCCGACGATGCGTCTGAAAGCAGTGCCGGAGCTCCGACTAGTCTCTACTCTCCAAGAACCTTCTCACTCTCTCTAGAAAATGCGTTAATCTAATTTCACGAGCTCTTTTTTTATATTGTAGTTTTGACACCACCAGGAGACAACACAGGGTCAAGCCAAGCCCTTACCCGCCTGCAATTTTTCATGATCTTTTTTCCATGGTGATCATTACATTAATTTAGCGAGAACATGGTATTAAAGAGAAAAGATTTATTTCCATATGATCAGCTAATAATTAAATTAGTAGTACTACTCTAGATATAAAATACTGTTTCATGAATATTGCTATTAACTAAAGTGTAGGTGATTAGTCGATTAATTTCTCTACTTGACCGGGAGAAAGACGCGGTAAATTTCACACTGAAAAGCACATACTAAGGTAGCTAGTGACGTGATATTAGATTGTACTTCTTTTGATTTATTTTATTTTTTTTATAAAGTTTTCATTCCAACGGAAAGAAGAAAAATTGTTAACCTGGGAAAGGTATATAAAAAAAAACAAAAAATGGGACATCACATAGACTTCCCAAAAATTAAGATGCTTAATTCAGACAAAACTAGCTTCAACTATATTTGATCATGTTAGGTAATTGTCTCAATTAGTTTTGAGAAAGTAATTATTTTATATTTTTTGGATAAATTACTGTTTTCTGTTTTTGGCAAGAGTTATTTTATGGCTCATAGGAGTATATAGATAAGTGGTTCGTGTAGG